ATATATTATTGTTGTTGTTGTTGTTGTTATTACGTAAGATGTACCCTCTTGGCCTGCTCCAGCTGCTCACTGAACTCCTCCACAGCCTGACTGTGTTTTTGTCTCAGATCCTGGATTTGAGTCTCGTGGCTCCGTCCCTCCTCCTCCATGGCTTTCTTCAACATGGCAACCTCTTGCTCGCGCTTCGCCCTGGTGACCAGAAACACACACACATCAGATACCCACAACACATCCAACAACATGACCTACAGATTTGTATTTACAGCGCCTTCTCAGAAAAAAAAGATTTGTGTCATTCAGTCTGCTTTTAATATATTTCAACACAAACTAAATTATTTGAGACCGTAGCTCCTGCTGAGCGGCGGTGGTATCCAGGCTGTCCTCCAGCTCGGTGCGAAGAGCGTTTAGCTCCTCCCCAAGGTCGCGTCGTGCTGCCTCGATCTTCGCCCTGGTTGACCTCTCGGCCTCAAAGTCTTCCTGGAGCTCTGAGAGCAAAGCCTCCAACTCCCGAATCCGCTTGATCGCTGCCCCATGGTGATTGCTCTCCTCCTCCAAGCTGTGAGCACAGACACAAAAAAACTGAGGAGCTTTGTTCTGTTCAGAGTGGAAATATCTCAGAGTATGAAAATGAGTCATCAGAAGATGGCACATCTCTGGCAAACCCAAAATAACACAGGGCGCCACTTCACTACCTAATTAACATTATTGCAAAGTCTAGTGAAAATATTCCAAATAGTTTCCCAGTTCTGCTCCAGAAACAAAATGATTACAGGTAAATGGAGGGCCATGCTGTGATAACTACTGTATATTCCTCTACATCGAATGTCCGGGAAAATAGTCCTCTTACTGGGCCAGTGTGGCCTGGAGCTCGTCTTCCTTGGCGGCCAGCTGGGCCCGGAGCTCAGCTAGTTGAGCCTGCAAGTCAGCGTACTGCTCCTGGAGGTCGGCCAACTCCGCCTCCACTTTCCTCTTGGCTTTCTCTGTGTCCTGACGACCCTTCTCCTCTTTCTTCATACGCACTGAACACAAAACAAGATGCTGAACAAACCTCATCCAAAAATTTAAATTGTCTTATAGGTATGAGATCATGGTCACTAAAATATTAAATACATTATTTTGCTTTAATTTAGAGCTGAAAAGAAATTGCCTGGAGGCCAATAATGACCAGAGTGAATTATCTGCCGACTGACTGACCCTCAAGGTCGGAGATCATCGACTCGTGTTTGGTCTTGAGTTTGGTCAGGTTCTTGGACTTCTCCTCCTCCTCAGCCAGGTTAGAGCTCATGTCAGCCATCCTCTCCTCCAGAAGCTTCCGCTCCTGCAAACAGACACATGGAGAAAATTTGAGCAAAGGACGTCATTGGACAGCTGCAAAAAAAAAAAAGTTCTGCTCCTTCGTACCTTCTGTAGTTTGTTATTCTGGTCATCCATCAGCAGGATGTCCTCCTCCAGTTTCTTGACTTTTCCCTCAATGGCCACTTTCTCCAGTTGCAAGTTCTGCCGAGCATCTTCTTCCTTTGTGATGTGGTCCTCCATTAACTGCAGGAAATAACATCACGGTGAAGGGCTGTGTTGTAAATGTAGAAAATATTATTATAATAGCAATAATGATAATGTGCTTCCACCTTTAGCTGCTGTTCCAGGTCCTTCTTCTCCTGCTGATGAGCACTGCTGCGCTCCTCCTCCTCCTCCAGCCTAGCCTCCATCTCATGCAGCACCTCCTCCAGCTCCTGTTTCTTGGCCTCCAGTCTCACCCTCATCTCCTCTGCCTCAGTGTACAGCTCTGTCTCTGCCTGTAGCCTTGACTCTAGCTGGGTTCGCTCCTCAGCCAGCTATAGCAACGTCAGCGACAGAGAAGTCAGTCACGTTGGCATATATATAAAATATATATTATATATTTGTATGAAGGAGAAAAAAACCTGTGTTTGTCTCACCTGGGTGTGTTTCTGGGTGATGTCCTTCAGTTCGGCCTCGGTCTTTGCTGCCACTTCTTTTGCCGTCTTTAGTTCCTCATCTTTCTGACCCATTTCCTCTTCTTGTCTGGTCACCTGCAGCAGGGGCTTCACCTGATCCGTGGACACACACATCCTAACTCAGGCTTGATTGCATTAGATTATACAATACAAAGACTTTCAGAGTTATAATGATTACACAACCAACCCAGAAAAAAATGTCAAAACAGATGGATGAGAAATAGGAGCGTTACGAATCTATCCAAGGCATGATGGTACCTCAATCATAAGGGTTTTTCTCTGGACAGGGCAGTGATTATTTCATGACACGCTCAGCTGAGCTCATATTTCCAAAGTCACCAGAAAATGTATCACAACATCCGAAACCTACAGAATGACCACAGTTTTCAGATGGACTCTACTAAGACTAGATTAGATGCTTTTTGGACTAAATACAGAAAATGACCCTTTTTTTATTTTGATGAAAAAACCTGAATTAGCCCAGACATGTGCATACATCTGCTGGTGGGAAACATTCATATGTTTCTGAAAGTGTGAGAACTCACACAAGTCTTTCTCCTTCAACACCTCTTCTGATTGAAATGTTTTTTTAGTTGATTGATATGAAGACACTGTATAGGAGCAATAAATCTGAGAACATGTATATACACAGAAATGAATGTGTGTGTGTGTGTGTGTGTGTGTGTGTGTGTGTGTGTGTGTGTGTGTAACCTTGGTGAAAAGCCTCCACCACTGCCAGTTCTTGAGTTTAAGGTAACAGGCACAGTTTCTCTGGATGACCTTCATGGCGCTCAGCTGCTGCTGACGTTTACTGAAAGCCCTAAAAATGTACAAGATTGAGTTTTAGGCTTCCCCGTGTGTACATGGGCAACATTTCATTCAAGATGCAACAGGTCATTTTGTGTAATAGACAGACATTTAAACCAAGTGATATTGGCAGAACAGTTTCTCTTACTTTCGGGCCAGGAAGCCTCTTGCTTGTGCCTGGAAGGCGATGATGACAACGGTGAGTTTAATGTCTCTCTCCTCTTCCAACTGAGCCAGAACTCCCGTCCTGAAGAACATCTTACTCTGACCGATACGATACAGGTTAGGATCCAGATCCAGGTGCTTCACCTGCAGGGTAGACAAGAGGGAAAGAGAGAAGTCAAGTGGAGAAGCTTGCTTAAAAGAGGGAAAACATGGAAAGCCACCATATTTATACTATTTATATCTTCTAGATTTGCCACTGTCTTTTTCTTAGATATCTTTTAGCTTGTATATATTTTTTTATATTTATTTTATATCTTTTACTTACTTTTATTTTATATTTCATGTTTAATGCTGTTTGCACCAGGGATAAGAGGGAAACGCWATTTCAATTCTCTGTATGTCCTGCACATATGGCATTATTGATAATAAAGTTGACTTCACTTGAAAGCCCTGCTCCTCACATATCAATTATTACAATCCAGATTGACACTATGGTAAAGTCAAACTTAAATGGAGATTTGGAAACTGTTACTGGTTCCTGTGGACATCCTCTCAACATCAGACCTGCAGTCTGATGCCGCAGCTCATGTCCAATGGTTCCTGGGATCTCACAACCATTCTCAAAACAAAACGGACCCTTCAGAAACAGATTAACTCCATCCAGCTCACCATCAGACAACAGGCCTGTTTCCCATCCATGAAGCCTTTAGGGATGGCATTGGCAGCCAGAATCTCATACCTACAAACAAGAAGAAAACAGACACTTTGAGCACAAATAAACCACACTTTTTTAAAAATCTATGTGGAACTGCCTAAAACCTATAATCTCTTGAATGATCGGCCAAGGGCGATTCTGGTTTCAAAAGAAGATAGAATTTTGTTTCTTGATCTCAAGTTTCAAGTCTTCATTGCAGCATGATGTCATTTAGTAAACTATGGTCCCATTTAGAGTCAAATACATGACACTGTGTGACACCATGACAGCTAGTACCATCCAATGGGTCAGGTTGTAGGTGTAGGTGGTTGTGCAGTGTCCTTGAGTTCTCAGTCAGGCTCCACCCCTGCTTCTCCAAATATGGTTACTTAAGATTTTTTTTAAACAAGATGGCGCTGGACAAAATGACAAACTCAAGGCTTCAAAATGGCAGCCCAGAAACAAAGGTGTGACATCACAGGGGGGGTTGTGATGCAAGGTGACTGTGAATGTTTGCTTCCCTCCAGCTCCTCACCTCTGTCTGAACTCCTGGAACACGATGCGGTTGGGGAATCCCTGTCTGCAGATACGAATTCCCTCCAGCACCCCGTTACACCTCAGCTGCTCCAGCACCAGATTAGCATCCATCTTCCCAGCCTGCACGACAGCAGCCAACCAACAAGCATTGAATATACTGTAGTCACTTTCTGTAGATCGTAGCTTAGCATCATTAAGACAACCTACCCTCTTCTCATGGTTGGGGATGATGCAGCGGACAAAGTTGGGCTGTGTGTTGTGCAGCGTGGTCATCAGTTTGCCCAGCGACTCTTTGTACAGCTGACCCACTGTGCGGAACATGCCCTTCTTGGATTTAGTGGAGGTAGGAACTGAACTCTCGGACATCTTGGTCATGGTCTCCAGACCCACCACTCGATCCGCTAACAGGGGCAGCATAAAGGATTCAAACTCATGTTAATATCATAATGAACAATTTGAGGTGAAATGCCTTGTTTAAGCAAGTGAGGACGGGTTGTCCCCTCATGGACAATTTACCGTCTTTCCACAGATCCTGGATGAAGTTGCTGGAGGAGTTGTTGAGCAGAGCCGTCACATTGTCATTCAGAGGATCCATGTTCTTTGTCAGCCAGTTAGCTGCGTTATAGTCAACCTACAAATGAAAATAAAGTTGTAAATCTGTGGAGGGTTAAGAATTTGCAGGATGTAAAGAATTTACAAGATGGAATTGTTATTAACAGATCAACAATGTGGTAGGGCATCTCTCAAAACTTTCTAACTGAAAATAAAAACCTTAAAAAAAAATAAAACAGCTGCTAACTGTTCAATAAACAGAAAAAAATAGTCAATTTGTTGGGGACTATTTTCAGCAGTGGATTCATCATCATTTACTGTATGGGACTGAATCAAAAATAAACTGCAGGGGGAAATATCACAGCACAGCAGTGTGGCTCACTGATGAATTCAGTATTTATCAGACTCAACTGAACCTCAAATTAACAGTTGTAATGATTTTTGTCTCCTTCCTGAAGCTGTCAGTGGTCCTCACCTTTCCAGCATAGTGCAGAATAGCGAACATCATTTTATCTTTGTGTTGTTTGGGCTTGGAGAACTTGACGTGACCGGTATGGGTGTTCAGCAGCTTGTCCACGAAGGAAACGTCAGTGGCTTTGGGGAACCAGCACTCCTCGTCCAGCAGGGCCAGGATACCTGGAGGGTTGTTCTGTGGGACATAAAACGGAATCTGAAAACATATATGATCATAACATAGACTGTAAATAAAGATGGATGACATGACGACTCATCAAAAGTGAAGGCAAAGCATCTCGATCACCCCCAGGTGGCTGGCTGTAGTATAGCTCGTAAACCCCGCCAATAAGTTGTAGAACAGGTTTTGATTTTCTTTTTTTTGTATTAGTAAAATGAATCTGCCCAGTGACTCTTGTATATCTTTGTAGTAAAATGTAAAATCTGTTACTGAAAACAAATTTAGATAGAATATGTTTTCGATCCATTGAGACACGTTACCATGCTATACGAAACGATATAATCAAGATACAATACATATATTGTATACATATATGATAACTGGTCATGTCACATGACATGTGTGTGGTTGCAGCTCATCCTGACCGGCCTCTCGATGAGCTCGATGCAGGGCTGCAGGTCCAGGCCAAAGTCGATGAAGTTCCACTGTATGCCCTCCCTCTTGTACTCCTCCTGCTCCAGGATGAACATGGTGTGGTTGAAGAGCTGCTGCAGACGCTCGTTGGTGTAGTTGATGCAGAGCTGTTCGAAGGAGTTGTCCTGAGGATAAGCGTCAAATCGATTGATTAGAAAAGTTGCATATAAATACAATAAATCTAAGACTCAAATATTTCAGTCATCTGTGTTTAGTGATCAGTCACCTCGAAAATCTCAAAACCGGCAATGTCCAGGATCCCAAGGAAGGAGGACGACTGTCTCTTACTCTTGTCCAGGGTCTTGTTGACCCTCGCCAGGATCCAGCGGAAGAGACGCTCATACATGGCTTTAGCCAGAGCCTCCACTGCAAAATCAGCCTAAAGGGGGGAGGAGGGTTGAGGAGGACAACGGTGTGGGATGGAGAGTGAGGGTGACGGGAGAAAATCTTTTTGATTCATTTTATTGCTGCGTGTTGCTGGGAAACAATGTCCTAGAAGGGTTCAACATCACACGAGAAACAATTGTTCAGGTTCAGAAGTGTATTCCGTAAGAACCTAGATTCTCCACGTTTAGTTTGGCTTTTACCTGCTGCTTGGTCTGAGCCTTCTGCACCACCTCCCTGCCCACTTTGATCCTGGGGGTGAGGATGGCACGGGTGAAGTCGGTCACATTGATGCCCTGCAGGTGACACACCTTCTGGGCAGCTGGGGTTGATGTGACGAGATGATAAAATGAGACAGAGGAGGTGAGACACGTTTACAGCTTAATTTATGGAGCTGGCTCTGGTACTTTGAAAAGGATTTACCTGTGTTGTCAGGCATGGTTGCCTGCTCGCTGTTCCTCTCCTTCTCAAGCTTGACGTTGCCCAGCTGCAGCACGGTGGACACCACCTTCAACATCCCTGCAGAACGGAGTCGAGGAGGGTGAAATAAGGCCCTGTCCCAATTCCTCTCCCTTTGCCCTACCCCTAGATATGAAGTGTTCTTTGCTGGAGGTGTCCCCCTCCAAACGGAGCCACAAGGGAGAGGGCTAGAAAATCTTCCCTGAAGAATTGGGACACCACTCGCTGCGTCATCAGCAGCCAACCAACGTTATTATAGTAACACATATAATAAGTGCAGGACAGACGGAATGTATTGATCTATTGCTAACTGCTGCCCTGCATAAAAAACATTTTAACATGTTTTTTTAACTTCATATACAGGACAAGGGAGTAACGAACGTAACTTGTTACTCCCTTGTCCTGTATATGAAGTTACTGTTTACATGCTTGTTTTGAAGGCATCAATATTGCTTTTCCTGAAACGCTTGTCACAGTGACATCTTCATCTTCGATTGCTGCTCATTTAAAATAAGTTTTAATTATAATAATATTCTGCTGGATTAAAAAAATGGGTATGGCCAAGTGGTCGGGCTAAGGGGTGAATTGGGACAGGGTATAAATATCCAGCAGTCTTATGGAAGAACTCAGGGTTTTTGCCTTATGCATGTTAAATAGTATCAAATCAAATATTTACGATTTCCAACAATAAGAACAAATAAAAGGAAATGGTTAGATGCATGCAGAGTATATGGAACTTGTACAGTTTGCACAGAGCACAGCAGGGTAAAATAAACAGTGTCTGAGTGTTTGTGTTGTGCAGCAGCTCGTACCGAGTCTCTCCTCCTCTGTGAAGCCCATGATCCCCATGGCCTCCAGAGTCTCAACGAACATCTCGTCGTCCTCCTGACCAGGGATCTCCACGTGACCTGCCCTCAAGAAACGATAGCTGCTGAAGTCCTCCAGCAGCAGCTCCTCTACACACACACACACATACACACACACACACACACATAGAGTTTTTGATATACGTAATGGAACGTGTGCAGCATGTCTGTAGCTGTTTGCACTCAGAGCACAAAAGATGAGCATCAGTATTTGTGTCCAGTACAAGCATTGATGAGTTTATGTTCTTTCTTGCTCATATTTAAGTTTCAGTAGTGATGCCTACACTTCTCATCATTGCATCCCTGTATAGATAAGCTGGGTGACAGATGTGATAATAGTGGCCAACAAGGGCAAATCACAAAATCCAATGGCAACAAATTCTACTGGAAAAGGAAGGTACATGTTTCTGACAAGGCTCACATACCAGACTCTGGACCATATCAGACTTTGGATGGACCATACTCACTACAAGTCCCACATGTCCGAACCAAACTTTGAAGGTGTGCTTCTATGCCATGATCACCCAGAACCCTCTACAAAACACCCAACAATTGAACCCTTTGGTGATAACTAAATCTATGATCACAAACCATTTATAATATTTTTGTATCTGTTTTAACTATAAATGTAGAAACCTTTAAGCCTTTTATACTCAACGTAACTGTGAGTGAATACCTCAATTATTCTACATTCAATGTTCAGTGTGGAGGATTTAGTGATATCTAGTGGTAAAGTCGAACATTGCAACCAACTGGATAACCCTCCCCTCACTACTCTCCTTCCATGTGTGAAGGAGAGTCTACAGTGGCCTTTAGGAAACAGAAAAATGTTCAAGTCCCTCTGCAAATCCAGTGTGTGGTTTGTACACTCTGGGCTACTGTACAAGCATGGTGGTGCAACATGGCGGACTCTGTGGGAGAGGGGCTGCTCCTGATCCAGATATAAAGGTTCATTAAAGAACAGGAGAGTGTTTTTCATTGAGATCCTTTAAATAACAGCTGTATAAGCTGCTCACCCCTCGTCGTGTCTTTGGCTCCAGCCACCATGTAGTAGAAGATGTGAAACGCTCTCTCTGTGTTGGCCTGACGAATACAGCGAGACTTCTCCAGGAGGTCTGAGCAGAGATGGTTAAGTAGTTAACCAGCGAATATATTTCAAAGTATGAAGTATTATATTTTTAAACTTAAATCAAAGTTTAATCCAAGAAAAAGGATACAGGTATCGATGTTTGCCCCAACAATATAACCAGTCACATCAAAGTTGAGTTTAATAAACTTTCCCTGTGGACAGATGCGACAACAATGGCTACAGGTCAGTACCAACAGGAAGGAAGCTAAAAGCCAGAATGTTTGTGTTTGCGTGCTGCTGTGTAAAATGCTTACGAATCGCGAGGAGTTGTCGTTCTTGATGGTTTTGGCGTTTCCAAACGCCTCGAGGATCGGATTAGCCTGCAGCAGCTGCTTCTCAAGCTCCCCCTACAGGCCACAGCAAGGTTACACATACATCCATCTGTCCTTACAGACCAAAACACTATGATCTATTGTGACTGTTTGTCATTTTACACTCACAAAGGCCAGGGATCCCTGCTGCTGCTGCTGTTGCTGCTGCTGTTGCTGCAGGAAGAACCAGGAACACAAACTTGTGAGAAACCAAGTGAATCCTCAAGTACATCTTTTTTTAAGTCATCCACATGACCCCGCCACATTAAAATGTATCGTACTAGCAGGGTCAGAGGTCAAGCCTCAACAAATAACAGTTTATTAAACCCCAGTTCATTAATTGACTCAAGCACCTCTGACTTTTAAAATTGTGGTTATAGATGATTTGTAGATGAAGCCATGACAATTTGAAGACTCATGACCAAACGTGCTTCTCTAAACACATAATATATCAATAACTCATTAGGTTTCAGGAAGCTTAAGCTGCTTTGACTCACAGGGTTAGCATCCTTTTTGCCTTTGTGAGAGGAGGCAATAACAGCCAGGTACTGAATAACCTTCTTGGTGTTTTCCGTCTTTCCCGCTCCAGACTCCCCTCTGGGTGACACAGTGGGGGAGGAGAAAAGGACAGAGAAGAGAAAGAGCCTTTAAATGGAGAAAAAATACCTTGGATTGTTTTTGTTTAATCTGTAGCTGATGTGACAATATTCAGATCATGTGCTAAACACAGGAGCTGTGTTCCATTTCCATTTCAGGGGCTGCATCCTTCAGAGGACTCCATCTGTGAAGGTCACACCTGTAGACTGAGAAGACTGCGAGGGCTGAATCAAAATGCATGAGGGAGCCAGGTCTAGCTCCTGACGTGAATATTGGGGGATGAGTATTTTGGGATCTGAACTCAGTTTTTTTTTTATTGTGTCAGCTTCGGCTTCTTCTGGGGACAAATGTAAATGATTATCAGCTTGTGGTTCATAGTTGTTTAAGCCATGTTGACGTTATAGTCAGGGTCATTGAAGGAAACAGAATCATGTGTGTGTTCACATGAATGTGCGGCTAAAAGGTTAAAAAAGTTGAATATTTGAACTCACGTGCAGAGAATAGACTGATCCTCACGGTCTGTGGAGAGAGAGGGGGAGGTTAAAAGAGAGTTGGGGGGTGAGATAATGTGAAACGTTGACTGAGCTGAACTCGCTACTCGGAGCCAGAGATGACTACATGGACCTCGGACACAGGAGCAGAGCAGCTCCCTCTTGAGATCTTGTTCAAAAGGGAGATTAGCCTCCGTTGGCTCACATCATCTAAAAATAGCAGGTGGATGCGGCACTCCGTCGCTGTGATCTCGTCTCACTGCTCCATGTATGGCCATTCTGCAGCTGAATGGAAAGTATGGAGCCGGCCTGAGGTCAGCAGTGGACGAATCTGGAGGCCAGACGGCACGCTCTGCTTCCGCCATTACTTCGCTTTTATTTGGCCAAAAATGTGTGTTTGCTTTATACAGATTTATGCTGTAGAAAACACAGTTGTGTTCTGAGGGTGTAATGTGACTGTTTCTCCCTCTTTATCTTCCTTTCTAATTTACTTCACATAAGTTGAGATAGTGCAGCGCCTGTTCGCTTGTCCTGTGTTGAAGCTCAAGAGCTACTTCAGAATTATTCCTTGTCATTAGTGAGTCCTCCTTAAACAGTTCTAAAATATACTGTTACTTTTTTTTGTTTGTGTGATGGATGTTGTGTGCAGAGCTTTTTATATAAGTCTATGGTGCAGAGTGAAGTAAGAAAACTGTTTTTATTAATGTTCATGTTCATTAATGTTCATGTCCAAATTGCACCAAATATGTGTAACACTTTGTGAGATTTATGGAAAGAACAGGTAAATGACTAAGTTGAGTTCATTATTTGTTAGTTCATGAAGCGTCTTTCCTTTAATGCCTCTCATACTTGACTTCCTGTCCTTGTCTGTACCTGATCTAATATGTCACAGCTGAAATCAATGACCCTGGCTCTCCCTCTCCGTAGTCATCTCCTCTGTGAGTTCGTAATTTTGGTAAATAAATTCACTATCCTCTATATCTGCCTTGCCTTTGGTCTGAAAACTGGAAAAACTGTAACTAAACTGCACAGTTGTTTTCAAAAACTCAACACCTGCTCCGATCCTGCCTTTTATTTGGTTTACTTCACTTCAATACGTCTTTTTGGTTACTCTTACTTACTTTGCTTTTATCCTGGCTTTAAATTCTTTATTTGTGTGTTATTTATTAACACATTTATTTTTCTATTTGTTGCTGCATTGTAATCACTCTTTCTTTAATCCTTGAAACCATATTTAAATTCCCTTTCCATAAAGCTCACACACACAGCCACTCATACATAGACAGTTACCTTGCATCATGTTCCTGTAGGCGTTGTCTGTGATGGAGTAGATGTGCGGCGGCACCTCGTGGCGCTTTTTACCCTTGTACATCTCGATGATCTTTTCGGAGTAGATTGGCAACATCTTGTAGGGATTCACCACCACACAGAACAGACCAGAGTACGTCTGTGTGTGTGTGTGTGTGTGTG